AATAAGCATGTAATAAAATGGAAAAAACAACAAGGCTGTTTTCCAGAATTCTAACCCCTACAAGTGAAAGAATGTTGCCTCTGGATTCTTACCTTGTTGGTGAGCCTCTGGAATGCAGTCGCAGAGCTCATGAACATCATCTTGGTGAGGATGATGGTTGCATAGGAGGCAAAGGCCATCAACACCTCATTGTCCATGAGCTGCTTGAGGTTGGCCATGCTTTCAATCTTGGTCTTGATCTTTAAATGGCTGTTGAAAAGGGGGAGGGGGACAGAAACACCCCAGGTAATTTGGGAATCACTAAATGTGCTGATGTCGCAGCAGTAAACACACTGTTCTTAGGGGGGAAAACATAGCATGGGCTGTTTACAAGGGAAAGGATTACATCCTCATGAGTTTTCAAAATAAAAGCAAGACACGGTGATTCACTCCTGCAGTCACAACTCTTGGGAGACTGAGCAGAAGGCTTGCTCTGAGTTTAAGGCCACCCTAGGCTACACAGTAAGTTTCAGGTCAGCCTGGGTTACAGGGTGAAGTCTTGTTTCAAATAATTTAATTTATTAATCAGAAGCAAAGATAGTTTCAGAATAAACAGTATGATAATTTCCTTAGTTCTGTATCATTAAAGAGGAAGATACCCAATAAGTGTAAAAAATAAAAAAAGTATAAAGATTATTGCAGCATAAAAGCAGCCAAAATGCCCCAAAGATGGAATGAAACACAGCGTAGCAGGAAGAACAAAGGGTTCAGTGAATAGTGCAGTGGTCACACAAGGCTCAGCAGCGACATCGCTCTCTGCCACAGCAGGACTGTCATGTTACCGGGAATGCTCAAAATCTGATACATGCCCTGGATTAGAAACCTAGCCAGGTCTCTAGTTAGAAACCTACGGATGTTAATAGTATCTAACAGAATTTACTACCAGATTTAAATGCAAAACAAAAAAAAAAGGAAATGAATATAATAGTAACTAGCTAAGGCAAGGGACCATCCACACTTTACTCTTTTACTCTTCATTTATTTGCTCACTGGGGAGGGTCTGGTTCTTAGGTCTCTTAGGCTGGCCTCTGACTTGCTATATACAGAGAATAGCTTTGAACTCTTGGTCCTCTACTCTCTGTCTCCCAAGTACTGAAGCTACAGGATTGTACCACAAAACCCAGCTCAATAATCTTCATGATATGAGCAGCCCAACTGGGGGAAGAGAAGACAGTAAACATTCCAGTACCAGACCCATAAGCCCACAGTGAGGAAACTAAGCATGTGGAAAGAGGAGCCAGGGAAAGGGGACCTGCTCTGTGGGGCAGATAGGGTCATTTCACATCCTGCTTTCGCATCTATCTAAAAAGCTGTCAAGAGGAGACCGAGGGCCTGGCGAGATGCCTCAGTGTGTAAGGGTGCCTGCTGCTGAGCCTGACAACCCAAGGTCGGTCCCCAGAACCAATATCGTCAAAGGAGAGAATCAGCTCCTGAAAGTTGTCCAACATCTGCAGACACAGCGAGAAGAGGGTGCAAACACAGGAAGCAGGCACACACTCGCGAACAAACAACTAATAAAGGAACAAGTAGAGTAAATGGTAAACTGAAGGAGCCTAGAGGTAGGACAAAGGACACAGTCAAGTCAAAATTGATAGGAATTTAGGGTAAGGCTTAACATCGGAGCCCCCAGTCCTATCTGCTGCCCTCTGCCCTCTGACCCCCACCTTTATCGATTCCCTATAGCATGTGTCTTCTCTCACACTCACCTTAGGCAGCATTTAATCTTCTTGGCTTCTCCATAATGTCTATTTTTGCCCTTAAATTCCTTCCTGTAGCCATGTAGCTTAGCCTCCAGGTTTTTTTTGTCCATTTACCCAAGTTCTATAAGGTACATCTATCTTTCTGTTCGTTGCTAGTCAGACAGTTAGTTGTCTGTGGGTTGATGGGGAATGTTACTAAAGGAAAAATAAAACATTCCCACAAACATTTAATTTTGTGTTAGATGCTTTGTTATTTTACTGATAATGAAACTGAAGCTTCCTAAGAAAACTCTGAATGTTGTCTCCTTAAGATAAAAGATGTGCCTCCTGCAGGTAGTTGAGCAGAAACGATACAGCCCTCCCAGGGGTTCTGTGATTTCGGAATCTTCCTGGGGGTACCACATCCCATGGATGGTCTAGTCTCCTCTATGGTATTGCCTATGCAAGACCTCCCAGTTAGCCTCCCATATTTTAAATCATCTTTGCTAGGCAGTTTTTACCGTGGACTTGACAAAACCTAAAAATTCACTGGGAAGAGGGCGTCTCAAATAAAAGATTGCCACAACCAGACTGGCCTGTTGCCATGTCTGTAAGGAACTGTGGATTGATGTGGGAGGGGCCAGCCCACTCTAAGCAGGAAGGCCTGGGCTGAATAAGAAAGCTGAGGTGTATGTGGAGGGAAGGGGCTAGGATACATCTCATCATCATTTGTAACAACCGATCCTGTTTACCCACCATTCAAATAGTTTCTACACAGAACTGTGTAGAAATTAGTGAGAAGAAACACTTCTATTCGTGTTAAACAAACGTGCAGTTTCTTTTTCTGATAATTTTTATGTACAATTGGATGAAATTTGTGAAATAAAAGGGTTCACTACGCTGTAGGTTGTTTGTAAATTCCATGAGTGACAGTACATTGATCCACTTCTATGAGTTCACGGTCTTGAAAGCATAGCGTGTTATCTCAGTGCAAGATAATACTTTCAGTAGTTTTAAATATATCTGCCATTGCTCTGATATTGGGGGAATAAAAGTCATGGTGAAATGCCCTATCCTTCAGAGCTGCTGTAAAGTTAATTAGCTTAATAAAGAATCCCTATGGTCCTTGTCTCTGAACGGAGATCTGAAGAAATACAACAAAGATTTTAATTCTTTAAAAAAAAAAAAAAACCCTCAGGAAGTTTATCAAATAGAAAATTCTTCTATTTAATTACCTTCAAAATAAAAGTCCCCAGGATTGTTCCTAGAACAAAAACTTATTTAGTGCTGGAACAAAAGTTCAGAAAGGTTTTGGTGGTGGTGGTTGTTTTTTGTTTAGGATGACGGAAATCAGTGGTGAAGAAGAGAAAAATCAGGAACCTTCCAGAACAGTTAGTGGGGAAATACAGAGGTGTTAGCAGTTGGAGAGAAAGGACAATGGTGAGTTTTCTGCATCTGTAAACAATACATAAGAGGCTGAAACAAGTGGAATTGCTAGGCTGCTAGGAATGTGGGCGAGCTCCTCAGGTCTGTGATTCTGGGCGACTGGCCAGCACCAAGTCCCTGCTATTCTACACCATGGGACAAAGAACCTCCTCTCTCAGACATCTTCCACTTTCCCACATAGGGGAACCAAGTGATGAGGAGTAATGCTAAGAACATTAAGAACTAGGAAACCCTGACAACATGAAGGCAGGCAACATATAACTCTGGGTCTTTTTTCTTTGGTCTTGAGACTGCTATCCCTAATTGAAACCAGAATCATGGCAAGGCTCTGGAATAATGAAAACAAACACCCTGAAAGCTTGCTGTTGAGAAAGGTGTTAAGGAGGACCATGTCGGTAAATAAACAATCAAACAAACAAATAAACAAATTGATAAAGTATTAGGTCATTTGAGTCTTCCCAAAATGAGGTAGAAACAATGGAAGAAAAGCAGAGATGAAAATCTGGATAGCTGATCAGAAATTACACTAGATACATAATTACAAGGATGGATTTTACTGTAGTCATCCATCGGTTTCACTGTCCTTATCTTGACTGGCTTCATGCCCAGTCCTGTGGTGTGGAGACAGCTATGCCCTGAGAGAACAGGGAGGCTGAGTTCACACACTCTGCAAGTAGCCTGGAGTCCAGGCAGATTTCAACAGAACACTTACTAGCTACAAATTAACTGGGTTACCATACCTGTAAAACAAGATTTCCTACATAGACCTTACTGGCCCTGACTTCTGATCCTCCTGCCTTCACCTCTGAAGTGTGGGGATTATACGTGTGCACCACCACACCCTAAAAATGTTCCTGGTAGACGCTACTCCAGAGGATTTTTCTAAGCGTGACTGACTTCGAAATGCTTTAATGATCATTGGCATCTTACAGGAGCCATGTTAGTGCTTGGTAGAGATGCTCCTGCTGTAGCACTGTTCTAATCACTAAGGAGGTAATTTAAGAGTTTTCAAAAGGTTTCATATACCAGACCTCCCTTTAAGACAGGTGAGGGAACCAGCTCTCCATCCAGTGCTGTTAAGGTGTTAAGCATACTGAAACACTGCTGAACACTATTAACATCACTATTAATCTTACTAAGTGCCTAAGCACTCCTTACATTTATTTTCTCGTATGTTAGCAGATATGTTGGTGGGCGGAGTAATTTGACTCCCTAATGGCAGCTGCTGGACGCTTCCCTGGCTTCGTGCAGCACAGGACATTCAGTGAACCATGAAGATGGAGTACTGACATGCCAGCTCCTGCATCTGCAGACTTTAGGGACACCTCAAGTTAGCACCTCAGCACCACAGCTGCTTGCTACCAATGTACGTCTCTGGCTCCTGAAGGCCTTGCCCCGCCACGACTGAACCGGATGTTTGGTCATCACAAGCCTGGGAGGGTGAATTCTGGAAACTTCAAAACCCTTTCCACTGATGAGTGGCGGGGAAGAATAGGAGCTTTAAAGGCTGGTGAGCACAGTCCTACGTTTGCATATGGACTACAAAAGCAGCTTCTCATTTGCATGAGGGACTATGCTACAATGGGTGCAAACACAGGCCTTCATTTGCTTGATGTCTGCCATGATCCCTGCCAGCGTTCCCTTTCTAGATTACTTTGTAAGCCAACATGGAGGCACCTTCCTATGCAGCTTCCTGGTTGGACGGCATCAAAAGCCCCCTCTTGAGTAGCCTTTTACTGTCTACGTTGTGTGTGTGTGGTCTCTTGAGTCTCACAATGTAGCCCAGATTAGCCTCAAACTCACCACACACCTACCTCAGCCACCCAAGCTCTGGGATTACAAGCCTGCTTCAAAACAGCCATCTTCTTGACTATTTGTGCTGTTCATCATTAGCACAGCAGGCCTGAGTGATGAGCCGATGGAGGCCACAGAGTGCCAAGGCAGTGGAGCAACAGTCATGAGTGAGCAGCGGAAGATTCTAGAGGCAGCTGGGGCACAAAGGGTGTAGAGCAGAGGTGACTACAAGGGCCGAAGGCAGAAACTTTGAACCCCGATCCCAGAAAGGCTTGTCAGGAGTTGCTGAATATCTAGTACCCCAACCCCAAGAGCTAGAACACCAGCCCAGGGCCAAGGTTGAGGATTCTATTACCCTAGACCAAGGATCTCTATAGCTGTCACTCAGGACCAGAGCCTGAGGCCTATAGGAGATGCAGCCCTACAGACTGCCTGCTCAGTTTATTGCCTCACCATTGCCAGCAGCTGAAGATGACAAAAGCTGCCAGTTGTCACGCCTCGGGATACTGATGGCTGAACCTTTAAATGAAGAGCCTAAGACTGTGGGACTCTGCTTTCCAGAGCTGCACACCTCTAAGCCCAGGTCCTCTCCAGGGACTGCTACCACTACACAAGGTTCTCTTCACCTACCCAGGATTCCTATCAGGGGAGAGCAAAGGGATGCCAGCCAGTTGACTAGAAACAGCTTAGGATGAAAGACTGATGCAGCAGATTTTTCTCTGTTTTTAAGAAAGGGCGCTCTGGTAGGGTAGACAAGAGGCCAGAAGTGGCAGGGTGGAGACCGGAGAATCCACCAGACAGTGCTTTCCTCAACTCTCCGGGACTCTCCACTACCAAGTCTAGGAAGTGCGCAGCACTGTGGTCTCCAGGGAGCTTTTCCTGGAACTCCCGTTGCCATTATTTCACCCTGAACCAGACTCACAGTCAAGATGCTGTGTCCAGTTGAGAAAGCATTGCCCTTTCCCTTCGTGGGCACTTGATCAAGAAGAGCAAAGTTCCTTTCTTTTCAAAACTGTTTAGCCTCTCTGTATCAGGATTTCGAAACACGGAAAAATCTGGGCACACAGCCACAAGGCCATGACTCTTCAGTTTTGAACCTACTGAAAGCACCAACGTGTTTGGTGCTCCCTACACGTGTGTAGGGAGAAAAGAGAAAAGAGGACTGAGCCCGCCCGTCATGCCGCTGCCTGTCAGCTCTAGAGTTCCTTGAAGGGACTGAGGTGGCAGATGCCCCAGCTTTCCGAGAGGCCTCAATGAAGGAAAATTTAGAAGCCCAAATAATGGTGGCTGATAGGGGAGGGTCAGCTGGAGGGGATTACTGTGGGACAGGGTGGATATGGGATTGGGTTTCGGAGCGAACAAGACGGAGGGGTAGGTTGGGGAAAGAGGTAGGTTTGGGGAATAAGTAATGAAGTAGATATGCAGAGGGATATGGGGCAGATGCCTGTGGGCAACCAGAAGTTCTTTGGAGTCCTTGGAGAGCGTGCTGACTTTCCTTCAAACTTCCGGGATTAACAAAGCCCCGCCCCCCCATGACTTCCTAAAAAATACTTGTTTGTCATAGAGTAATACTCAATTGGGACCAAACAAGTCCTCTTGGTCGGTAATTTCCAAGGACAACACAAGCAATGCTGCCCAAACTCCCTGCGGAAGTGCTTCCTGGAAAGCAAGTGGCTCCAGCCTGGGTCCTGAGCACTCCAGGCTTCATGACTCTTAGCTGGGATCCTTTCTCACAAAACTTAGTTCACATCTGCCTGGCATGCACTTGGAGAAAAAGCAGGAAGAAAATAAAAATACCCGTGATCAGTGTCCCAGGAACACCAAGGGACCCTTTCAGAGGCAACGCTACTTGGGCTTGAAAATAAGAAGAAAGCTGTCTCTTGAACATGAAAAGACACACGCTCCCAAGTTTCTTCTTGAAGCTTAAGAAACAAAAACAACACGCGCTAACAAACAGTCACAATTCCCCTTTAGAGCAGGCGACAAAAAGCGACACTTAAGCAGCTAAAGGGAACAAAGGCTTTTCAGACAGGCACAACAACTTCTCCACCCTCCGACCCCTTGCACCTCCCCGCCTCCCGGCAGCACGGGAGGCCGCGCAGCACCCCGGCTGTGCACCCACCTGAGTCCCGGGAGAAGAGCCGCGAGCCGTCCTGCCGAGCCTGAACACCTCGGGGACTTTTCACCCAGAGGACCCCGGCCGGCACCGCCCTCTTTCTGGCTAATTTTCTAATTATCCGGCCTCCGGCCCCGGCCAAGCCCCGCCCCCTGAGCTCGCTGCAGCCACCGCCCACCCGGTAGAAGCGCGGATTCGGTTCTGGTTGAAGGTGGGGAACCTTTCTCTGCCGGGGACCTCTGCAGCTCTGTTCAGACTTGGGAGCAGGAGAGCAAGAAAAGCTGTTTACCTTTACGTCCCTGGAAACACAAGACCTTAGTGTTGAATTTAGATAACTCAAAAAAGCAAACAAATAAACAAACACGCATGCACTTGCACACACGCAAACTTTTAGAAAATTTAAGGCTCAGGAGAAGGGCTCCATTGCTGTGACAGCCTTGTCCCTTCTTCAGGGTGAAAGTGGAACCAGAGAAATTCTGAGAATGTTAGGCAATTAATGTCTGTTTTGCACAGAGACTTTTAGAAAAGTGTCGCAAGAAGGCAGGGTCCTCAGAGCAACATCAAAGCTCATTATTGCACACAGCTCCACAATAACCGCCAAGAACCAGTTCTGAGGGCTTCCCCGACACCTTCTAAATGATATGTTTCCATCTGTGTCATTTCACGGGTATTTGCCACGTGTACCCCACATTGCTCTGAGAACCAACCTCTCTTCTTTCCTCTTTCCTTCTTTTTCTTCTTCTTCCTTTTCTCTTTCTCTTCTCTTCCTCCTCTTTTCTCTTCTCTTTCTCTTCTCTTTCTTCTCTTCTCTTCTCTTCTCTTCTCTTCTCTTCTCTTCTCTTCTCTTCTCTTCTCTTCTCTTCTCTTCTCTTCTCTCTCTTCTCCCCCTCCTCCTTCTTCCTCTTCCTCCTCCTTCAGAATGTGCCACTTAAATTTCAGGTTTGTATTTACCCGTCTGCCTCTTCGGTTTTGTTTTGTTTGTTTGTTTGTTTTGGAGGAGATTTAGCTTCCTAACCCTGTCTGGAACTTGCTGTATACACTCGACTGGACTCTACTTGTGACCATTCCTGGCTCAGCCCAAAAGTACTGAAATTTGTACCATCATGGCCCACTCTCCCTTTGATTTTTAAAGATTTAATAGACAATTCTATGTTCTACCCTCCTTTTCAAAAACAGAAAGTAATTAAGAAGCAGCTTGTTGTCTGAAATAGAAATTGGTCAGTCCTGAGATGGTTTCTTAAGAGGCATGACACCTAAAAAATCTGTTTCTTGCACTTTTCATTTCACTTGAAACTGGTCTTCCTCTCTGGGTCTGGGCTAGAACACTGATTGCAATGGAACAGAGCTTGGTGAAAGATGCAGCCATTTTGAATTCTTTTCAGAAAGTTTACTGCTTGGAGGACTTAAAGAGCCCTGCATTTATGCCATGGAAGACAGCACAAATCCTGAAGAGAAGATTTCAGAGAAGGTGGGGCTAGAGAGATGGCTCAGAGCTTAAGACCACTGGGTGCTCTTTCAGAGGTCCTGAGTTCAAGTCCCAGCAACCACATGGCAGCTCACAATCATCTATAATGAGCTCTGATGCCCTCTTCTGACCTGCATGCAGCCAGAACACTGTATACATAATTAATAAATAAATAAATAAATAAATAAATAAATAAATAAATAAATAAAT